GTCAAGAAGAGGTACATGAATTACGAATATGATTCATTTCGCAAAGTTACAATTGATAGTTCGTAAAGATTCAGTATCTCAGAAGGGTGCATTGTTTCAAAATCTAACAGATGATCTTTATGGTATAAAGTTTGCAAATGTTCAATGAGGATATTTATTTCCCTATGATTTAATGAAAGAATGGATAGGACGCTCAAATGATTAATTTGAATTTAAATTTATTTGATAAGCCATATTTTGTGTAACAGAAACTATGCTTTCTTGGATATTGATAGTATTGTGCACAAAAGTGCCTTGCAAACCTTTACAGAAGAAAATAACTTTTTAATTCTATAGATTCAGTGCATGTTGATTTTCATGTAGTTTTGGATTGGTTATATAATTTAAATTAATAAGGAATTGAGTTTTATGACGATTTTCGATTAATCTTGAATTTCCTAGCGGCAGTTTGATTACCGGAGGTGCTTTGAGCAGAGGGTTCATCACTAGCGCTCGAATTGGTAGGCACTGGACTGGTAGAGCTCTGTAAAGGATTTTTACGATGAGGCTTGATTCGTCTCAGCATGTGTTTTCTATCTTTGATTAAAATTTGATTTCCTTGTTGTTTGAAAATAGTGTGTTTTTGATATTTTGGTTTGTCCTTAGTTTGTCTGATTGGGATTTTGATATAGATCGGATATTTTAAAACGGGGATCTTAGATACGCGTTTTTCGTTAATTTTGTTAGTTTGTTTTTTTAATTGATTATAAGAATCGTGAGCGATTTGTTCATTAATTTTGTCTTTTTCTAATATTTGCTTAAGATGTGATGAATAAGGGTCTTCAGTACTACCGTATAATAAATCAAAAGGTGTATGTTTTGTAGTAGAATGAACAGATTGATTGTAATTTAATATAACGTCAGTCAGTAGGTCAGTAGTAGTGTCTGTTTTTCGAGTCTGTCTTAGGATTCGAAATTTTTCTCCAATGGTACTATGTCATCGTTCAATTGGTGCAATAGAACTAGGATTGCTGGTGCTCCCTAAGTGCAAATGTATTTCATGAGCTTTACAATAACCTTTAATAACTTCTAAACGTAATTCTCCATAATCGGCATGAAGTGATTTTGGAAATCCATGATGTGAAAAGAAATGTTTCATTTTAGATAGTATGTCAACGTGATTTCGTGACATGGTCTGATAGGCTTGGGCATATCGACTAAAGTGGTCTATAAAAGTTACATATTTAGTATTTTCAATAGTAAAAATATCTATGAACACTAGTTGGAATGGTTTGTTACTGAAAAATGGGCGTTGGATTGGTTCTTTGTAAGGTTTTCGTTCGTATTTAGCTTTTAAACAGATTTCGCATGTATTAATGATGTCAGTTATAAGGTCTTTAAGTTTTGGTGTATAGTGAGTCTTTTGGAAATGAGAATAAGTTTCATTAATTCCGTTGTGAGATTTATGATGGTACAAAGTTATTTCGTCTTTCATTTCTTGTTTGTCTAAATAAATCGGTTTAAATACAGCTTTTTCTAGTACAATATGTTTTGCAGAAAAAGATTGTGTCATAATTTTACTAAGTATGGGCAAAAGTTTCTGATCGTCGTACCAAATTCCGTATTTAATACCAGGGGTACAATAATTTTTTATACAATCCAAAATAAATGAGGAACATAAGTGATTAATTAAAGAGCACCTTAGTGTCTTATTCGGAAGTAATTTGATCTTGTTTTTCTTTTTACCTGTTATAAATTCAATTCGGTGAGGATAGGCATAAAAGTTTTTGTCTGAAAATTGAATCGAGTTTGGGTTTGATTCAGGCGAAGTGTGTCTCGTGTTAGTTGATCTGTTGTCTGTTTCGTGAATAGTCATTTCTGATTCGGGTGCGTTAGGGATCATTGAACATTTATCTGGATTCGGCTTAAGGCGTCAGCAACTAAATTTGTTTTGCCTTTTTTGTATTTGATTTCGAAATCGTATTCCTCAAGTTTGATTTTCCATCTAATTAATCTCTGGTTTGGTTCTTTCAAATTTGATAACCACACCAAAGGTTTATGATCAGTCTCAATCAGAAATCTATGTCCAAATAAATATGGTCTAAAGTGTTTGCATGAATCAATAATGGCTAAGAGTTCTTTTTCAATGGTGGAATAATTTCGTTCAGCAGAGTTTAATGTTCTTGAATGAAAACTGATAGGTCTTCCGTCTTGTGATAGAACACTTCCTATCGCAATATTTGAGGCGTCGGTTGTTAACGTGAACGTTTTTGAAAAATCAGGATATTGGAGTACGGGTGAATTAGTGATAGTCTTTCTTATTACATCAAAAGCTTGAATGTAATCAGGATCTGAAATGTTGATTTTCTCGTCTTTCTTTAAACATTTAGTGAAAGGTTTGGTAATTTAGGCAAAGTATTTAATGAATTTTATGTAATAGTTGGTTAATCCTAAAAATGATTGAATTTGTTTGATAGTTTTTGGTATTGGAAAATCTTGAATGCATCTGATTTTATCCGGATTTGGTTTAATTCCGTTTGGCGTTATTACATGTCCCAGAAATGGAACGTCTGTTCTTAGGAACTCTGTTTGTCTGTTGTCAAGTTGTATTTTCAATTGATGTTTAATTAAAGCTTGAAATATAGATTTCAAATGAATAAGGTGGTCTTGCAATGATTTTGAGAAAATTATGTCATCTAAATAGACGAAACATATTTTTCCGATGTAAGCTTTTAAAACAAAATTCATCATTCTTTGGAATGTTGCTGGAGCGTTTTTCAGTCCGAAGGGCATTCGTAAGTATTCATAGTGCCTGTTGTTGACGGTGGAGGCAGCCTTTTCAATTGAGTCTTTGTGCATAGGAATCTGATGGCATCCTTGTGCCAGATCTAACGTTGAAAAATATTTAGCTTTGCCTAAACTCTCTAATATTTCTTCAGTTCGGGGCAAAGGATATTTATCTTCGATAGTAATGTCATTTAGTTTACGAAAATCGATTACCATGCGATATTTTTTAACGCCGGAAGCGTCAGGCTTCTTATTTATGATCCATACAGGTGATGAGTACGGACTTGTACTGGGACGGATGGTGTCATCTTGCAAAAGTTTAGCGACTTGTTCCTGAATTTCGGTTTTTAAATAGACTGGATAGCGAAAAGATTTTACAAATATTGGGTCGTCGTGTCTTGTTCTGATAGAATGAGATGTTACGGTACATGGTTCTAATTTTTCGTTAGGTTTTAGAAAAGCTTTAGGAAATTTTCTACAAAGTTCTGTTATCTTGTATTTTTCCTCATCATTCATGTGATCGGTTCTTATTAAAGTTCCAATATCAGTTAAATTATATTCATTCTGGGGTGTTTCAATGTCGTAATTATCCAAATTGTCGTATATGATGCATTGATAGTTTAAATCTAATAGATTTGGATTTTCTGGGTATAGTACTTCGTAATTATTTAGTACAAATCATCTCGGGTGGGTAATCGTTAGAATTTATATATTTAATAGGTGGAGCGATAATTTGTCCATTTTTGATAGGGAATTTTAGAACTTGATTTTTGATTACAGTGTTCGGGACTTTACGTGGTATTTTGTCAGTGTGGCAAATAAAGTCTAAACGATCAATGGATAGCAAATTCGTAGATGTTTGTAAAGCAGCTTGAAATTTTTGTAGATCATAATATCCTAGCAAACAGTCAAAACGTTCGTGCCAGTCTAAAATGAGAAATTCAATTTCAGTGTTAATGCCATGTTCATTGAACAAAGGAATTCGCAAAGCGTATTCACCGTGTTTAGTACCAATGACAGATTTTATTGAAAAGTGTTTTGGATAAATGTAATCTGGAAAATAATTGATAGCGATTTGAGTATTGATCAAAGAGACAGATGCACCAGTGTCTATAAGAACTAGCAAATCTAAATTTTGTAAATAAATGTATGGTAAATGTGTGTTCTCATAATTATTGAGATCTAAGTCGATGGGTTTTGATTTGGGGCTTTCGGAAAATTTTGAGTTGTCTCTTCAGGGGGAAACTAGGGTTACTATCTGAATTTTCATATTCTTGTTGGTCATAGTATTGCTGTTCATCGTATTCTTGTTCGTTTTGTGATTGTTCGGTCGCTTCGGTGTTGGTTAGTTCTTCAGCGATAAAATTTGGTCTTTGTCCGTGATTTGAGAAAAAGTTAGGGCGGTATTGATGCTGTTGTTTCGAGGGGCGGTTCGTAATAGTTGATGTAGACATGGGTGTCGGTTTAAAGTTTTTTGGTGGACCTTGTCTATTTTGTGGATAGAAATTAGGCTGTCGTGGTTGAATTTGTCTTTGAAATTGATTATTAAAATAATTTGGTCTGATGTGAATCGGGCCAGTTGGGAAGTTAGATCGTTGTGGCTGTTGGTAAAATTGCGGATTATAAAATTGTTGGTTTGAAGGGAATCGCCACATAGGTGTATTTTGAACGGTATTTATAGGTTTCGGTTTTTGAATGGCGTTAGTATTTTTGGCATTTTGTTTAGTAAATACTTTGCATTGCGATTGTATTTGTAAATTATCGTATTTTCGACAAATTTGTAAGGCAGCTTGTAGGTGTTGCGTTAAATAGGAGTGATTTATATGGTTCTTTAATACCAGTTACAAATGAATTTAATGCAGCTTTTGTGTAAAGGTCGACTCTAGATTGAGCAACTACATCAGAAAGTTCCAAAAGAGCATATTCTCTAAGAATATGTAATTTTTGCAAAATTTCAGTATGAAAATTCATATAGTCTGTGTACTGCGATAAATTTCTAAGTTCATCAAGTAGCATTAATTCGGATTTTGAATCTTTGTAACGTTCTTTGAGAATTTCTTCAAATTCTTGCCAAGTTTGAGGATTATTTCGTTCAACGATAACAGAAGGTTCTCCTTGTAGTTTGGATTTTACGTACGATAAAGCATGAATTTGATATGGGCCATGCAAAGCGGCAACAAATTCTCTAGATTTACGTAAATATACAGATAAATTATTTGATGTTTCAGAAAAAATAGGCACACTATCTTTCAATAGGTTAAATAACATTTGTGGATTGTCAGCCATAGTTGTTCTGAATTCCTCTCTAACGTTAGCTTGGTTTTTTACTGGTTGTCTTCTAATGGGTGATCGTTCTCGTACTGGAGATTTACCAAAAGTTTCTTTGACTAAATAGATAAAATGGATTTGGCTTACTCTAGCGTTATGTGAAAAATCAAATTTTTCATAACGGAGACTGCTCTGGTTCTTGTAGCTCTCTGTTTCTCTATGCCCTAGGCTCGTTCTGCAGGCACCTCGGACGTGGCTATCAGGTTCTCAGATCGTTTCTCTTACGGAAGTGGATACTTCCTACCTCACAATGGTTGGTCACACAGAAGGGACGTAGTTCAGCTCACCTGATGATGGTTGGCTGGGCTCGTACAAACTTCCAGATGTTTTCCACGAAGGCGTATAACGATCCTGTTCGTAGCGCCAGATAAAGAATGCACACGTCGTATGATAAAAAAATAACAGACTTTATTGCAGGAACGAAGAGTAGTTACAAGTATTGAACAAAATCTGTGTGTGCCTCGATATAATTCTAATCTTTATAGGAAAAATAACAGAGCTGTATCGAAAAAAAAGTAAGTAAAAAGCAAATATTTCTTAATGGGGTTACCAACAGGATTCCATAACTTACATTGGTATCAGAAAACATATTGTTTTGCTAGACTCCTAGACATTCTAAAACTGGTTTAAAAAACGGTTTTCTTTTTACAGTGGCTTGAAGCCGACGTACTCGTTGTGTTAGAAAATGAAATAAAATGAAAAAATGTGTATTTACAGATAATATTTTATTAATCTGATAATTAAACCAAATGAAAATTTAAAAATATTATTTCAGTTTGGTAATATTCTAACAATAATGAAAATCCTTCATCTTATATTTTCACAGCATGTAACACCCTTGTTGCATCCTGCTGTCAAAACGTTACACACTTATTTACGCTTATTTGAAGATTTGTAATGAATCGGAAAATAAGTATTTTCAAATCTATATTTAGTTTAATTATCCGCTAAATAAAAGCTTGCTTTTAAGAATGTATGCTTTTACTTAATTTTTGTATGATGTCAAATAACTAGTTTGGTAAATTCATAGCGGTGACCATAAAAATCATAAATCTCCATTTAGTGACGGCCGCCATATTGGATTTAGAATGAAGTCCCGTTGCATATTATATTTCTAACGTAAGCTGGCGTTTTTTGCTTACGCCATATTTGATTTAGAATGACGTCACTTTGCGAATTGTGTGTGTATGCCTATGGAAAATGTAAATGGTCGTTTCACGGCGGCCGCCATATTGGATTTAGAATTGCATCACCTTGCTTATTGTGTTTTTCTGATCAAGCCCTTTCGTTTGATACTCATGTCATATTGGTAGCTATGAGAAATGTAAATCACCATCTTGCGGCAGCCGTCATATTGGATTTACTACTATTTTGCTTATTGCATTTCTCTTATAAAGCCATTTCATTTGATATCCATACCAAAGAGTCGTGATAAATCACCATTTTATAGCATCCGCCACATTGGATTCAGAATAGCGACAGTCAATTCATTTTGTACGGTCAGGTTAAGGTTACCTGGTTCAAAATTCAGTTCCCAGATTTGTCCCACACAAACAATCAAATAGATCAAGTTAAATAAAAAAAATGAAAATATCATAATTATGCAATGATTAAATACATACACAGTCGAGGATTGAATAAGATGAAAATACTGGTATGTATCAGGAATTGGTGCTCTTTCAAGCTGTACATCATTTAATCGAATTACTGAATTTAAATGTGGCCGGACAGACGTCCATGAGAAGGCACACAGTGGAGGAACGAAAACTGCTACATACATATGCTGGGCTTTGATTGGCAAAACTGTGTTTTAAATCAATACCTTCCGAATTTTATATTGCTCCTTGGTGAGATCAAATTTAGAATATGCCACAGTAGTATGGTCCCCTCAGTACCAGTGTTATAAACATAATTTAGAAGCCTGTCCAGTATAAATTTTTACGTCTTGCAGCATTAAAGAGGAACTTAAACATGACGGAATATCATAGAGCTACATGGTAGTACATTTGCGTTTACCTACATTGGAGCATAGACGCTTGGTCTTTGATGGTTGTTCCGCTTTCAAGATTTTATTGGGGATCATCAATTGCGAAACTTTGTTAACATTAATAAATCTTAATGTACCCCGTAGAACATTGCGTAATAATAGTCTGCTTGCGATTAAGTTCCATCCCACAACCTATGGTCAGCACTCTCCACTCGATAGAGCATTTCGTGTTATCAATTTAGCTCAGTCTAATATTGACATTTTTACCTGTACACTCTCCGGCTTTAAAAATTATCTTTTAAATTGTGATTTTTATAATTATGTCTTGTGAGCTTGCATGTTGTTCCCATTTCGTGACTTTGAAAAATAAGCAATAATTTCATTATTCTATACACCATACAGTTTTAGATAACAGACGCATAGCTACATATGAAATTGCTGAAGCTGTGGGCTTCTCAAGTAATCTTTTATTTCATATTTTGGGAAATGGAAGCTTTGGCTATATAGTGACGCATTCAATAACTTTGGATCAAAAACGAACTTGTGTAAGACTTTTCCAACAAAATCTCGATCAATTTGCAAAGGATAAAACTGATCCTGTGCGTAGAATTGTAGTTAAGGATTAGACCCCTATAACCCTAAATTGCGACCTCAAACCGCAGAGTGGAGTGGAGTGTGTTCTGTTCCGAAACAGGCAAAGTTCACCTGAAAAGATTATGACATCCATATTCTTGAAAGATTACCTGCAGACAATCAAATGTGTAACAGCAAGGTTTTATTTTAACCTTTTTTGATAAACTGGCTGTTGTAATTTGGTTCAGGTTTACACAAGACAAAAAACGCTCTAACAATGGTCAAGTATTTAAAAAAAGATGGGTTTGTACATATTTTGCAGTAATACAGGGTGGTCCATAAGTCCTTTGAAATTTCAAATTTGAATAAAATTTAACGGGTGAGCGTGAGCGGCGCGAGCGAGGTGGGGGCAGTATCTTCAGTGTCTGGGAATTCAGTCGCCATGGAGTGTTTCACTGGAGCGGATCGTGCTTTTTGTGTGCGCGCGTTTTATCAAAATAATGATTCGGCAACCATTGCGCGGCGTAAATATCGAGAATACCACAAATTACACAATTTTACAAAGTGTCCAACAGCTCAAACGATTAAGAACTGGGTTGCTAAGTTCGAAGAGACTGGTTCGACGTTAGATAAACAGCGGTGGGGTCGACCAAGGACAACTCGTATTGAAGAAAACATCAACATTGTGGCACAGTCTGTTCGTCAAAATCCTACCCAGTCTACTCGTAAGCGTTCCAGTGCACTAAACGTATCCAGAACATCTTTACAGCTGATTTTAAGGAAAGATTTACGTCTGCACGCTTACAAAATTCAGTTAGTGCAGGAATTAAAAGATAATGACGCTATTCAGAGACTAAACTTTGCGAATGAAATGTTGAATCGATTTTCTTCGCTCAATAATGTGTTGTTCTCGGAAGAGGCTAACTTCCATTTAAACGGGCATGTAAATAAACAAAATTGCCGTTATTGGAGCCCCGAAAATCCAAGGCGTAAGCATCAGAAGCCCTTACACAGCCCTAAAGTTACAGTTTGGGCTGCTATGTCAGCGCATGGCATCGTAGGCCCTTATTTTTTTGAGGACGACAGAGGTCGCGCATTAACTGTTACTTCGGAGCGGTATGTAGCAATGATAGAAGAGTTTTTGACACCAGCGTTGCAGAATTTTCCAGGCTATAATACGCAGACCTGGTTTCAACAGGACGGAGCAACTGCCCACACCTCCAACACTTCTATGCCCGTCGTCTGTCAACTTTTTACCAGCAAAGTAATTTCTCGAAGAGGAGACATTTCCTGGCCACCACGCAGTCCAGATTTGACCCCAATGGTTTTCTTTTTATGGGGCTACCTCAAGAGTAAAGTGTACGACACCACTCCGCGATCAGTTGATGTCCTGAAAGAAAATATCCGAAGAGAAATGGCAAGCATTACAGTGTTGACTTGCCGCGCAGTCATCGACAATTTTAGACGTCGTTTATATGAGTGCCGTGATCGTAATGGATTGCATTTAGACGATGTGATTTTTAAAATATAATTCCCATTCAATAAAGATGATAACAAAATATAATACTTCTTCATAATGTAACTAGTTTGGTTTTATTCTTTTTTTTCCAGCTCAAAGGACTTATGGGCCACCCTGTATTATAATTAGGGCTGGGCTTATGAAATGTTTTCTGGTTAACGATTAACGTCTTCGTTTAAACGTCTTCACGGGCATTTTTGACCGTTTTCTTAAACACGTATAAACTTGTATTTGATACTAGGTTTTAAAATAAATATGTAGTATCGAATGTTTCAGCGCTTTATGGTATTTCACGTTCAATCTTTGCATTCGATTTAATGTTATCAAAGACGATTGACCTTGTAAAGGCTGTGCAACAATGGGTATTAAAGCATTTTTAGGTAATTTCCTAATTTTTTACACTAAAAATGTAGATGGCTCTGCTAGTGCAAGTAAAGATGTTGCTGTTGACTGTGGCCAGGTGGGAGAATGCGAATTTATAGAGCTGCTTTCCAGTGGTTTTGTTTAAAACTTATATCGTATCGTTGCTGAGCACTATTAACTTACTCAGAGCTACTCCGAGTAACTCAAGTGTGTCACTGGAAAGCAACTCAGACAACGCGCAAGCACGTATTAACTGAAGAACAAAGTCTCACACATTGATTGATCTGGCTACACGTCAAATATTCAAGATTCTGAACTAAAAGGTCAAAAATTTAAAAATTTCATTGAGAATAAGAAAAAATAGGTGAATTTTTTATATAAAAACGTATAAACGATTTCTGAGAGGAAAACGTTCGGGGTAAAAACTGTTAGGCATTTTGCCATTTTTTGCCGAGATCTAATTTTAAAGACTCTCAGGCTTCATATTATAATCAATTTCTCAAACATTTGCATCTACAGATTTGCTCCTTAAGAAAATTTAAATACACACATCATCAAAAGTGTTGGACCCCCTGGCGTACTGGGAAACATTCTAATTTCAATCTTTGATATATTTTAAATTTGGAATATTTTTACTATATTTATTTAACAAAACGTTAAATTAATTTCATTAATATGAAGAGAAAAAGAAAGTTGAACAAGTAAGGTACCAAAAATTTTATTTTTAAAAATCAAAATTAAAGAAAAATAATTATTCTAAAGCAAAATAAAACATAATTAATAACCAGTTCGGTGTCCTCTAGATCTTAGCAGTGCGTTAACACGCCTTGGCATTCCTATTATTCGGTGGTTAATGTTTTCTTGGGGTAAATTATTCCGCTCTTCATTTACTGATGCAGCCAGCTCATTTAGGGTTGTAGGTGGATCTATTCTATTCCGTACGGCTCGAGCTATAGTGTCCCAAATGTTTTCATGGGGTTCATGTCTGGGCTATTCGCAGGCCACGGCAATCTCACTATTTGGCCCATTTCTAGAGCCGGCTCGACCCTTCTCGCTCTAAGTGGCCTTGCATTATCATCCATAAAAATGAAGTTGTTACCGAATTCATTTCGCAAAGGTTGA